AAATACAATATCCTCAGATACTCATCCTGTCATACATTCATTATTGTGTTTCCCAGTCCATCCTCTGTTAAACTCTTTAACGCATATAAATCTGCTAGATAAATAATATAAGATATTAGTGAAGTTCTACAGCAAGTGTAACTGTACACTGGTCTCAGTTACAGATTTTTCTAATGATGATAATGATATTTTCTGCCTGTAGCTATTTGGGACGTTTCATTCATTCAACAACAGCATGATGTTTTCCCATTATTACACCTCATATGTCTGTCTGTGTGTGTGTGTGTGTGTGTGTGTGTGTGTGTGTGTGTGTGTGTGTTATCAAGTGTGTTTATGTGCATGCTCACCCTTGTGTGAAGAACCAGAATACAGACAGATGGTTGCTGGATGCGTTCTCTTGGTGTTTACTGCTTATTTCAGGCAGCTGCTGTGTTCAGTGGCACATGCAGCAGCACTTAAACACAGCTTTGTGTGTGACATGACGTGGGGTTACAGTGAGGCTATTCACTCCTCTGCAGCTATTTTTATACAGGAGCGAGAGTGTATGGAGTGACCTGAGTGGTTTGATCCTGATTTCCTGCTTGAGCGAGATGGCTCCTAATCTGATCTACGCTATCTTCTTGACTGTCAGAGGTCCAAAGTCTCAACCCACTATTTTACAATAAAATGTTTGCTGATAGATCTATTAGCTGCTCATCAGTGAAATTGTGGGGATGTGTAATCTCTTAATCTGCAGGAAATCTCTTCCTGTTCACAGACAGAAAGGGAGGGTGAATAAACTGCTTTAGATGCTGTCATTTTTCCACTACAGCAACTATGAAAAACACGCAGGTTTGGCAGCTATGGCACCATAAAAATCCTTTAGTAAGCATGTCTTTATTAATTATAATGAATTATAATTTTTCAGAATTTCTGTGGTGAGATAGCTTTGCTGTCTTTCAAATGACCTGCATAGACGTGATGATGCTGTGGATGATTTTAAGGAAAATTCATTTGAGGAGTATTCAGGCTTTTAGCTCTTTTACTGCATTCTTGGACCTGGATGTAAGAAAAAAAAAGAGTAAGATTCATTTAATGACTGTCCACATGTTTTTTTTATTAATTGCACTGGAGATTAAGAAAGATTACACGACCAGAGGCCTATGAGAATGTCATCAAGTAGTGGCAGAAGAGGCAGTATTAAAGTTTCAGATTACTCCGTGCATAAACTGCAGACGCGCCCAAAAAAAAACACTGAACTACAAACCCAAATACACGCATGCATAGCAATAAGTGAGGGTGAATCAGCATGCACAACGTTATTTTGTTCAGGTTTCAGTTTAGGAATAACAATCAGTGAAACGGCCTTGCTCTGCTTGCCTCCTTGTGGCATGACGTCTCTCAGCAGAGTTGCTTACATCAGAGCCGGGGCGCATGCACTCGCTGTGTGTTGGCAAACTGAGGTGATGTTTTGGATGAGAGCTTGAATAAACATAGCCTCTGCTGTTGCTGTGAAAAGACTCATTTACTCCCACCAAGAGCATCACAATGTGGCTTTAACTCTTGCTTAGGATTCGGAAGTTTGGATATCGGGGGAGAAGCAACGGATTTCTAAAGCTAATCCTTTTTTCCATGCCTCCAATCTATCGCTTTATTTTTTGCGGAAACGTTTTGTAAAGCTGTGCTTAAATTCTCACAGTAGTAGTAGTAGCAGTTGTAGTGTCCGCTATTGGTTGACTGGAATTATTACATAACAGAGGGCACTACTGAGACATTTAGACTGTAGAGCAATAATAATGCTCAACATGTTAGCCTGTCTATGGACTGTAATGTTGCTTGGTGCCTTTAGGAAAATAAACACACCAAGCAAATACCGCTTTCTTTATGTGGAGATATTTAAAATTTTGTGCTGTAATTAAACTGAATCTCTCAAGTGTCATAATATTTTTTTTTTGGGAATTAAATACGTTTTGAAATATGAATAAACTGTAACTGCTCATGCAGACAGATGCACATGTGGTTTCCGATGACATAGTGTCTACAGACTACAGAGCGTTTCAGTTTTCCTGCCCGGGCTTTGCCAGAACATTTTCTTATGGACACACAGCCCTGCCACTGTTTCATACCACAATGATGCTATGGTAACTGTGGGGTTTCTGCCTGTGGGGATGAACTCAATTGTTTTTGTGCTGGTCCTCATTTTCCCTCATTTTCTTCGTTCTAACACTTGGTAGTGGCTAGTCACTTGACAAATTTCATTATAATCTAGCCAGTAGTGATACCATGACCTAAAGAAAGATATTAATTTGAATTTGTGTAGATACAATTGCTTATATCCATTATAATTTGACAATCCTGTTACATAAATAACACGTCTGCGTGAAAGTTGTGACTTTCAATAATCCTCCATTAAATACTCCCATACTGGATGTGACCCCTGAAAGCCTTATACCTTGTCCATGACATTTATGGATTTAACAAAATATATATTATTTCAGAACATGTACTTTATTTAGCAAATAATACCTGATGTCAGAATCAGTGTTCCTGCTGGCAAAACCTTGTCCTACTTTAAAGGGAACATTTTCCCTGCAGTGTTTAAGCTACATCTGGTTCTCCTTCATTTGCTTTAAACTTGGAGGATGGGTTTTCTAGAAGTAAGAGGTTCTGACTGAACGAGTGTGTTTTCACTCAACTATTTTCAAGGATGTCATGTATTGCCTTTGTTATTGAACATAATAATTGTAGGAGCCACAACTGTCCAATCAGGTCTGCTGTTTCAAGCTACACTGCTCAAGGCCATTGAAGAGGCACTCCTGTAGCTGGATAGCCTATCGTGTGTTGTCCTTGAATGGTCCCCCCCCCTCATCCTCCTTGTGATTTGTAGACTATCTGAGTGGCAGTGTGGTTCTGTGCGGTGATTTGTCCCACGAGAGGGGCCCTGCCTCTGCCATTGCTACCGTCAGCAACTCTGCTACAACTGTGCATGAATACAGGATACTGGCATTTGCTGAATTCAAGGTGGCGTCTTTTCAATTAGAGCCCAGTGAAATACCTTTTCAGCCTCTCGAGTGGCCTGGCGAACTACAGCCAAGGGGGCCCCGGCAGTATAATGATGCCTGGCACAATAGTACCACTGTTCTCCATGCCGTTCCCAGGAAACCGCACAACATGTGCCATTGTGCAGTGTGCTTTGCTGCCCAACCACGTTGCCCGGCTTTAGCCAGAGACATCGAGAGGCCTGGCTGTGCAGTGAAGCTCACAGCAACGTGGTTGGGAAGACAGGTTCAGGGGGCGGCTAGATGAAGACCAGGGCTTATTCACCTCACACTACGTTTGATGTGTTAAAATAATATTACGAAAAGCTACATTTAAAAGGGCAGGCTTTGGAGCGGAAGAAGCCCGAGGGAACAAGAACAGCTGAGTGGTTGCCAGGAATGGTAGTACAGAAAACCCTGAGCATTGTTGCTATGTTGAACCCTCTTCAATAAAAAAGGAAACCAAGAGAAAAGTGACAAGCAGAAAAATGGAGGCACAAAGACGGTTTGAACTGGTTCGTAGCTGGTCCTAGCTGGTTCTTCTCTTTTTATCAGCATGCTGGGGGTTCAGCTATTTGTGTGTGTTCCTCCTCTATGGCCCCCAATGTGCTCTCCATTATAGCCTACACTGCTGTTTATGCAGCAGAGCAAAGGAGATCATTCAGGACCAGTCAGATAGGGGGGCTGTAGTCAACAGAATCCAGGAGACGCATGTCACAGGAGCCTTTTTGGGCTGTACAACTCAGCTGGTCATCTAAGACATCACAACAGGATACCCAGGAAATAGAGGCCTGATCCAGAGCCCAGTGTGTCACAGCTCTAGACATAGACCTTTCAGTTGATGTGTCAATTATTCAAGGCATTTGCCAAAATATCTATTCATAGCCAACTCTAGATTTTGTGACATAGTGAGAGTTGTTTTTTTTTTCTTTAGGCTACAAGTGAAAATGTTTGTTGGTCCCACAGTCACTTCGAGCTTGTTGGTATCACCCACTCAAATTTCCAGCATCGCAAAAGAATTTTCAGGCAGAATTTTAATCTAAATCCCCAAAGTTTTGTGATACATTTTGAATGGGACAGAATCTTCATTTGTCAATAGTCCCAAAGCCACAAATTATGTAATTTAGACCCTTAAGTCAATAGGTGTACAAGGAATTTTGTGCTGGTGTTTTATCTAGTTTCAATCATGTACCTGCTGGACCTGAACAAAGATACGGACTCAGTTGAATGCCCTCAGTGTGGCCTTCTTTTTCTTCCCACGTGTCTCTTATTGTTGGAAACTAGGAATTAACACAATGCTAGGACTATTGCAAATGTCTGTCAATTTTTTTTCCCGAACCTTATGAACAGGGGCCTCAACCAGAGGTTCCTAGTTCACCCTCACGAATCATTAGGATTTACCAGGTCTGTCTGGCCACCTCCCCCGCCATCTGATCCGACTCACCACCAGGTGGGAATCAGTTGATGGCTCTGCACCTCTCTTCACCTGTGAAAGACAAAGGCCACAGATCAGACGATACAACCACAAATTTGATGATTGATCGTAGGCCTATGGTGTTCTGGTACCAGGTACACTAATAAACAAATGAATAAAATGAAAAAATGCTCTTGAAGGTCGGGCAAGGAGGTGGTCGTCCTCGTAGCGCAGAGGGAATTGTGCAGTTTTAATGTGAGAGTATTTAATGATGAGGAGAATCATTTAAAATACCACATGAAAGCAGCGTTTCTGGTTCAGTTCCAGCCACGGACATTAGTTATATGTCATACCTTTATCTAGCTCCCCTTTTTTCCTGTCTGGCTCTGTATTACCTGCTTTACAATTAAAAAAAAGCATCCCTTAAAGAATTTCACAGTTCCGTTACATTAGTGGTTGATAAGAGTGTCATTGTTCCTGTTTTTTACCTGCACCGTCAGTGACATGCTGTAAATTCATTCATTCATTGCAAAATTTTATGCTAACTGCCAATATTTTTACTTCCACAGATCCCAGGAGGAGAATAAAAACCTCACTTGCATAGCACTTTCCAAACATTCACACAGCCTCAAACATTAACACATCTGAACGGATAGATCATTACACACACACCAAAGCACACAAGCAGATATGAGTGAAGATAAACCAGCCGAGACTGTGGAAACCACCCCTGCTGAGGGGAACGCTATTCCTAATGGGAAAGGCCATGAGCCCGGTGAAGAGATAACGGCGTCGGCCAAAACACCACCGGCAGATGATGGTGAAAAGTGAGTATACTCCTACTTAACGCAGTCTACATTTTTTTGTTAACAATACTTTTTAAATGCACTTTTGGAGTTGATATTGTAAATGTATGAATTGTCACTTTATTTTAGTTTTGCTGAAAAAGATCTGCGATATGAGCAGTGATTTAGAGGTCTGGAACCAGACTAATATGACTACCTGGTCACACATTAAAAACATTTTCATGTATTTCTCCAAATGTCATTTGTTACATTTGTGAATACATGCAGTGATCATATTAATTTGTAGCTACGTAGTGGTCATTTTGGTTTGATTGCTACTCCAGTAAATATGGCATCATGGAATCTATTCTTTGGTACTAAATACAAAAGGAAAAGGACAAATCAGTGATAAACAACCTGTCAATATGAACAACCTGTCCTTTATTTTATGCCTGTTACCACCGTTAAAGCAAGGTGATTTTATTCACTGAGTGCTTCCATCTTAACCTGCCACTTACTGAAGGTCTCTCACAATTGGTATCTTTGAGTTACTTGCCTGTTTCTCTACTAATCAAGAGGTTGGTTTCAGCAGCACGAGAGGGACCCGAGCCTCACTTACAGAGGGAAGATATGATGTAGTATATTTGGCTGTAATTCTACACATATCAGCTGGAGGGATGAGTAAAATTTTACCTGAATGAGAGGCCTCAATGGTCACAATACATTAGGGAGAGAGATAAAACATAGCAGCTAATTGTGTGTTGTTGTGGTGAGACTGATTATGTCACCCTGCTGCCTGGGGTGGCAGTTCAGCCTTGTCACTATAATGTTTGTCCCATAATTGCAGGGTTGAACAATCCTTATAACAACTCATACTGTATGTCCATTAACTGCCTGGTGGAGTGCCTTTGAGCAAAACTTTTACCTCCTACCTGCTCACGCATTATACACTATGATTTGCGTAGGATAACAGAGTAAGCTCAATGCCTAATTATCATGTCACTGGCTGTCTAGTAGGTTTTTTTTTTGTACCCTTGTTCTCTGTAATAGATGGTTTAATTAAAATGTCTCTCTCCAGGATACAAATGATAATTTATAAATGGTCCCTTCACTGTATTATTTGCCTTATTATATTATGACCTAGGGTGTTGTTTTTTCCACTTTGTGCTCTCGTTGGGTGATGGATGGCCTCTCTCTACACTGCTTGTAGGGAAACTGTACCCAATAGTGCCCAGAATGCTAGGTATGTATGTTACAATAATGAATGTGTTTCAGATTCAGTGTGTGCTATCTGTTTCAGTTGTGTCTAGTGTGGGAATTAGCACAGTTTCATAGAAAAGAAACTTGTCCTAAACCGGAGCCTGCTCTGTAACAAAGACATGGCAGTGTTTGTGGTGAATCTTGAGTGTTAGTTGTGTATGTTACTTCATGTTCTTATAACAGTGTTTCTCCTTGTTAGTCCTCACAGAACTGAGAATACTGGGGCCAACCTCCCAGAGAGCCAGGAGTTCTTATCAGGCGTGGAGGACAAGAAAACAACACGTTTTACAGATGTAAGGTTAAACAACACAACCCACAGGCTATTCTCAGTCCTATATTTATAATTATATGCACTACCTTCAAGCACTATCAGATGATTTAACATTTTCATTCTTCTCCTCTGTCTTGCATCACTTCTAGTTTGAAGGAAAAACCTCGTTTGGGATGTCAGTCTTCAACCTGGGCAATGCAATCATGGGAAGTGGAATCCTAGGTCTGGCATATGCCATGGCCAACACAGGGGTCGTCCTGTTTTTGTAAGTTATTCATACACTGTACATGTGATCTGATACATTTGTAACTTCATGATTGCAGATTGGAAGCAGTAGAGCAGAATTACAGCTCACAGATGTTGTATGACTCATTTTCTTCCTGCTGAGGTCTTTCCATTCGAGGCCTGCGTCACACAAAAATAGCACCTAATTGTTTTGTAATTGGCTTGTATTAACCAGGCAGCAGACCCTGTTTATGACACAGACACCGATGACACAGGGCGCATTTGTTTGATAATAAAGGCTCAGATTAATAGCATACTGGAAATCATTTACTTGTGCTGTAAATGAGTACAACTGCAATCACAAATATCCACATGTTCTTCTGTGTGGTTGATTCTCTGCCTTGAACCAGTGGGTGTATGTGCTGTATATATGACAGGCTTAACATTTAAAGCCTCCGCAGCAGCAGCATTGTCTGTCAAGATAATGACGTCACTGTCAACTGCAGCTGCTAGGTTGATTATGTATATTTTCATCCATGCTTTTTTCCATCTGATTTAGCTGCACTGAAGGTCTTTTGACCTTTAAGCTGCAGAGAGTTAAACCTTGACTGCTTGCAAGAACTGAATGATAACAGTGGAGAATACCAGAACAGTCAAGACACTTTGTATAACACCCTGTGGGGGGAGAGATATTCTAGCCTTGTTTCTGGCACTGCCCTTCTCTAACATGATTTACCGAGGTCTTTACTTAACCCAGTAGACTGGTTCTTGTTAAACCAGTCACTTTAAAATGTAGTTCAAACAAGCATGAAGACATCTTCATTTTTACTTTAATATTCTTTATTTTTCTTACTGCTAACAAATCCTGTGAGAAGACCAAAACCAGAAATGTTTTAGTCCATCTGTAAATCATTTCTGGCACTATATTTTCAGGCCCAAGCTCATTGGTTCCCACAGAAGATGAAAATATTTAAAAACAGGTCACACATATATAGTAATTTCATAAAACAGCTGGGCTCTGTGTGGTCTTAAGGAAGCATGCCCACATTAGAGTAAATATTACGGTTGATTAAAACATATCTGGTGTACTTACAGTGTCAAGATGAAGTATTGCTGTAGCAGTAGCAACAGAGGCACAGAGTAATAAGTCTTTAGCTACGTAGACAATACTTCTCAATAGGATCTATTCATTGTTGTTTTTTTTCTTTTTACGCTGTTGACAATAATGATAATACGAAATATCGTCATATTTATTCTTTAAAGCTTGTAGACTGGATATTAGCTTGCTTTCAAGAAATTCATAACATTTCTCTGGCATTACCATTTTATTTTTGGCGTGTCATGGACTTTGATGACATCATCATTGGCAGTTTTGTTGACCATACGATCTGTCTTGGATTTATCCCATCTGAATCTCTAGTCCACTAGACAAGACAACCTCAGACAACAACAATTGAAGACACAATGGTCTTCTGTGGTACAATATAACTCTAACTTTTTTTAAAAAGTGCAGCAAATAAGCCTAGAGGATGATACTGATAGGCTGTCAAAGCCTCACATGCTCACTTAGGTCTTAGATGCATGTGTCACTGTGTTTAAAATTCCCCTTTCTTTCATGAGGTTTCCATCTGTAAGATCTGCTTTCTTGTATTTCTCTGAAAATGAATCAGGCCTGTTAGAGGGAAGTCTTACCAGATATCACTGGCAACATCAACAGTTTCACTCCCTCGTCTTCCTTGTGTTATTTTGACACATTGTTCCTGATGGTGCTAGATTGCAAGGTGGCTGGTGCTGAAGCTAAGGTTTTCTGTGAGAATAGATTAAAGGGCATTGCTGTGAGCCGCCCCCCCCTCCCACTCAACCCCCCACCACTCCAGGCAATGTAGTTTATTTAGCTAAGCATTCTTGAATAAAATTACAATAGAGTTGCAGTGAAAGGTGAAACAATGTTTTGGATATTTGTATTGTTGCTATGACTTGTTTCAAGTGGATTTGTAGCTATAATGAAAAACTACATGCTCTCTTCCCTTTGTGGGTCACAGGTTTCACAGAAACTCTACAACAGAAAAATAATGGCTTATTCATGTTGGCATTCATGATTCAAATTGATCTGGGAGAAATGGGAAGCTACTTTTAATGTCTAACAGCTATCCTGGCCCTAAGATATTATTCAGCAACGTTATTTGAACACCTCTCCAAGGCAGTCATGTCTGGAGGATTTTCCCTCGTGTTAGAGAAAGCTCCTTAATTTGAGCTGAGTTGTGTGACTGTGGTTTTTCAAGCTGTCTGTTGTCTGGACCGCCTGAACCCTGTGTCACTATACGCCACTGTCTCTGACACTTAGACAGGCGAGATGGGAGGTGAAGTGAACTGTGAAGCTGATTAATCTACATTTCACTGTGATGAATACATGTAATCATGTTCAAATTAATAGTACGTGACCAAATGGAGCAGATAGCGTGTATTTATCCATCCTGTAATAGATGAAAGGCTGTGTCTTTGTGTGCATATCTGCCTGATCTTGTATCAAACAATAGAGTAGCTACTGAGAAATACAGGCTGGGTCAGTGACATATTTGGCAAAGGATTACTGGCAATTTCTCTGTGTTCCACATTGGACTCCAGGCTGGTGATCGCCTCAAAATACGTTACATCTTTTTTTTTCTACCAGTGTACTGTGTCATTCTGAACCTCAGGTCCTGTTCCTAAAGGGTACAGAAGACCTAAAAAAGAAGCGGCCATGCTAGCTGAAATGCAGGAAGGTAAACAAAGGCCAAATAAATGCCAATAGCAAAACAAAAATGGGCCTCTTGCACCATATTTTTCTTATATAGGTTGTTCTCATTCTCTCCATTGCTGCATACATGTTATGTAAACTGTACCTTGAAGGATTATCAGGCATTTTGTATTTCCACTTCAGACTGATATGAGGCCGGATGCATCAGTTCACTCATCATATGTCAACAGTTATGACTATTGATTGATATCTATAATTATATAACTAAAACTATAAATATATTATCAAAAGGAAGTCAAGAGTGTTGCCTTTGGCTTATTGTTAGGGATTATCTGAACAATAGGCGCGTTATGGTCTATAGTACATCCTGTATCCAATCAGTTTTTTATTCTGAGCCGCAATGTGACTCATGCACTTAATGTTATTGAATGTACAAGATAATTTATTATATCCAGTACGTGTTTTGGAATGTCCTTTGTTTCTGTTTCACTTGTGGCCTGATGTTTTATATCACACCGATTTTTGTTGGAGGGGCTTCAGCGGGTCAGTGGCCCTGGCCCGGGTAGGAATGCAGCGGGGTGGAAAGCTGTGAGCAGAGCTACAGTGACCCAAGTGTGCCAGTCTGTCTGACTGTCAGCAGATCTGTCCTCCCACTGCCGCTTGACTGACTAAATCCTCCACCGCAAGTCAGCCTAGCATTCTTCCACATGGTTTCAAGAAAAGCCAAACAAACAAAAAAAAAAAACCTGTTAAATGGCCAAGAGTTGAAGTCGAGGTGAAAGACATGCTGCCTGGCCGTTCCAAAAGGAGAGAGGAATGGAGAGTGCGTGTGTGAGAGAAAGAGAGAAAGTTAATGTCGCCAACAGTAACAACAGAAGAGAGAAAATAGAAAATAGTTGGAATGAGGTGGACTGGTCAGGGGAAGTCAGTCGATCAGGGTCCATTCACAAAACTTCCTCAGGCCCAGGATTCGCCCTGAAATAGAATTCTAAGAAAAATTCTTAAAATTATGACATTTCTCAAACATCTCCCTTAAAAGTAAAAAATAAATCCTAGTAAAAGATTGCTGACCAATAAAAAAGCATGAAAAGACAGTTTACTTTTCCAGTTTTGAAATGGGGTCATTGATTGAAATATTTCTGCATCACCAGCAGTGTACTCATGTTTAACAAACGTATTTATGCAGGGTTGCAGATACAGTTGAGAAATCATAGTAAGTCACTGTCTTGAAAGGGCTGAGTGTCATTTTCCGATGTTGACTGCTTGACATTTTGACGTTTAGCAGATGTTGGTTTTGCTCACGACAAGAATGTATTGATTTTACATATCAAGATGGCGTTGGCATGTAACATTTGGAAGACGTTGGATTTTGGTTACATGACAACACAGCTTAAAACCAACAAAACATCAACATCAGTTGTCGTCAGTATTCCACAATGTCAAGTTGATGTTGTCATTAGACATTGTCCTGACACTGAATTTTGGTCACTCAAATTCGCAACCTACATTCAACCCAATATCAATGTCAAATGACGTTGTTGGCCAGCTGCATGTCTGCAGGGGTTCAATACTAGTGCCAATACATTTTTGATGCCTCACTTGAGAACTATAAACAAGCTTTCCTGCAAAACCCTTTTCTTTCTTTAACTAAAGAGACCAGTGTTCTAAAATGTGAAATGTTGTCCACACTCAAGCAGCTGTATAAGAACTTTTTTAGACTTGACAGGTTTCAATACATTTCAAAACTCTTCTTGACCTCTCAATGTTATGTTAAATTGATACAAAAATCCCACATCCACACATAAAATGGCACTGGGTTTCTGAGCACAGACCACTCTGGATGGTTGAATATGTTTGAAAAAATAGACCTAATTAATACTCTCACGTGATAAAGAATCATTTAAATGAGAACGACAGTAGAATAAGATTTTGGGACTGGATTACTTATCCACTCCAAATTAATTACTCCAGGAACCCAACAGATAAATCCAACAGTGATTAAATGGGAAAGATAAAAGCTAATCACTGCAGCCTGATACATGACGAGGAACAACATGTAAAATCTCTGATTATGCGTCAGTGGAGACAGTGGAGAGTCTATTACTGAAAAATGGAGAGAACGGCTGTTGCTGTGACTGAAGTAGATTATTCCACAACTGAGGAACAAACAGGAACAAGATTAATGTCTACAAAGGATATTACCTCAATGTGTCAATCTCAGCATTGAATTGGAAATGTTTCTTTTGAAACAGTCCATCTGGAGCTTGTGCTTACTTACTGTGGCAGAGGGCAGAGGGGCTGACAGTCTATGTGGCTCAGCTGGAGTAACAATCCAATGTGAAGAGGAACCACAGGGATTCTGCTCTTCCAACACAATCTATGTACCGGCATCCAGGAAATGTACCTCTATGCTGCAGCTGTATAAATAGCCCTCAGAGTAATGTACAGTGTGGTTATAATACATGTTGTTTGTTTTGTTTGTTTCAGGGTACTTCTAACAGTGGTGGCAGGCCTCTCATCATATTCCATCCATTTACTGCTAAAGTCATCTGGTATTGTGGGTACGTATACACCTTCATAATCTGATAAGCAAACCTCCAAATTACTCTTCAGTGTCAGATGGTAATATCACAAATTGTGAACCTCCAGTACTGTTGACCTGCTGCACAACAAGTTGTCATGTGTATACTTAATTAGATTAGCAGTCTGTTTACAGTCCCAGATGTTGTTCGTGTGGATTTAACTACATATACTTTTATTTGTTATTTGTGGCCCAGGTATTCGTGCGTATGAGCAGCTTGGTTACAGGGCCTTTGGGACCCCGGGGAAGATGGCGGCAGGTATTGCCATCACACTGCAGAACATTGGAGGTGAGGTCACACACTGCCATCTGTCTTACGCATACACACGTTTTTTTTAAATATTCTATGATGTCTCTGGGATCATAGTATTCTGTGATGTGTTGCTTGGGATTATGTGTGTATGTTAGTAATAGCACATTTGTGTGTGCATATATCTCCCCTCTACAGCCATGTCCAGTTACCTCTACATAGTCAAGTATGAGTTTCCTCTGGTGATCCAGGCTTTTCTGAAGGTGGATAAGCCTGCAGGGTGAGTGGTTATTCCGTCACACAACATTTTTCACTCACATTATGTACATTATGTACTAAAACATGTGACTTCAGATCTATGGGACACATACTGACATGTCATAAGGGAAGAATTTCATCTAATCTCTGGTAAAAAAAAAAGGCATTAAAATCAATATCCTATAGTTCTGGTCTGTGAACACAAATCTCATTTTCACAAGTGTAGTTGTGTTTTATGACTGCATGAAATGCTGCAGGATTGGGGGAAAAAAAAAGCCAAACATGAAATAAAAGCCAGTGTAAAGATTAAAAAGTAATCTACTCGTGTTAAAAAAAGCAGTGTGATATCCCATCACTTCTCTATGGGGCTTCAAGATTTTATCCTCTACAGAAGAATCCTGTCAGGCTGTGCCAGTTGGCGGGCCTGGTGCTGCTCCTCATGTGCTGAGCAGCTGGCGTGAGAACAGCTGTGATAGTGACCCCGAAGGAGGAGAGCAGCACGGCCACCGAGAAACAGCTAGACTCCACGGCTGAAAACGTAAACCATGGGATATCACTGGCCAGTGCAGGTGGCCTCAGAGACAAACAACACTCACTTCCTTGGATGAGTGTTCAAGTGTGATGTTACCCCCTTTACCCCTCAACCCTTATCCCAGTTAGAGCCTCTCCTCACCTACTTTTTAGTTTGGAGAGAACTGGGTGAAGGGGAGGAGGGGAAGAAAATGGAGTATTTGTATGATATATAGTTGTATGCCTGTGTGTAAATGGGCAGAGTCACATGGAAATTTCTGCTACTGAGGGAATGTCCCCTCTTATTATAATGTGCAGAGATGATGGGTGATGACACGTAACTACTTCGAAACCATGTCACAACAGAGCAAACAAAAGAAACGAGTGCATGCACTGCACTGGACTCAACCTATAGTATGGAGAATAAAGACTGCCACTGCTTCCCCCATTTGCTCATAGATGTTTAGATTGATATATCCCACTATATACGGTATATATAAAGAGCGTTATATATAGAAATTATATACTAGGACAACATGTCTACATTGTTTTCTCATGTCAGCTCTTTTTTCTCTGTGTAGTAATGCTTGATGCTGTGGGCCATGGTCAACAATCACTGTTTATTTGAAATGACAGACTAGATTCTCCCTGTGGTATTTCATCCTGTCAGTGGGTGTGCGTTTATATTGGTAAACTGTACAGGGGGTGGGCAAAATAACAGGGACACCTCACAATCCGATGCAACCGAATACAATAGCTCTGCAACAAATGCTACTGTATAATAGAATCTGATTATAATATAACGACAGAGCTTATAATTATACATAAAAATGAATTACAGCTGATAATGATCAGTTTTTGTTGACTGCCTGTCTCTATAGATCCTTATTTTTTACAAAAATCCAGGTGAAAATCAAATTATAAAAAGACCATTTGCAGAGCCGACACTAACTGTTTATGTTATTCATTAGAAGGACTCGGCTGGACCATAATCAGTTTCCTACACTTTCTGTTACTGAATGTATATGGGTATAGGTGGTCTGGCAGCAGGAAGCACAAGAACATTTCGTTGCATATATGAACAAAATAAAATCTGTTTAAACTTCAGAACATCTGCTTGTTTTCTGTGAAAACTTGTAAGATTAGATTATCCTTATAAACTCTGGCAGAGGCTTTAAATTAACTTTTTGAGACTGCAGTAGATGGTGCTGTTTAGGGCTGAATAATTCATCAAAATATTATCGATATCTCAATACACCCAAATGCAGTATTCAAATGGCAGGAGCTGTTATTTTTTGATGAAAGTAAAATGTGTCTCAACGGACCATAAATGAAGCATTGTGGTGCTACAGAGATGCCCCAGCCTACGAATAATCTTCTCCAGAACTGAGGGAACATGCTTGTTTGGTACAAGCCCCAGTAAAAATTTTAGTATCATAATTTTTATATTTTTTTTCAGTGAAAGTAAAATGCAAAAATTATCATTCCCACTACACTGATGACTCATATCACAACTAATGAGTAATAATAACAATATGATGATTTTTTTTTTTTTTTGCTTTTCGGTTTTTTTTTTTTTTTGCACACACTGTCAACATGTTGTCTCATATAGGTGTGGGGTTCCAGTTGTTTTGTCCACCCTCTGCCTGAGTGTGTACGTGTTTCTGTCTCTGGAAGTGTGTTGCCTTTAACAAACCTGATACTGGTCAGCTCACATCTGAGGTTGTGTGTGTGTGTGTGTGTCTAGCTGTTTGTTTTGCTTATCAAATTTTTTTTCACTGTTTGTGATTATTGATGATTGTGCACCTGTGTGTTTGTATATGCCTAGGCAAAATATTGTAGCTTTGTGTGCGTGTGTGTATCAGTGAGAGATTATGTCCCTGTTCCAGATGGCCAGAGGGTGGGATGACAACAGGATAGATGAGCCTCTTCTTTTTTGAGATGTGTGAATGTACAGTGTGTGTTGCAACAGATGTTGTATCTCAGCAGTGTCTCCCACCTGATGGAAGACAAATTAATCACCCCGACTGTTGATCTAAAAATAGCGGCAGTACATGAGATAGTAACACGTGGTCGGTCGTGTCAGTGGAATCTGTTTGTCATGTGCCTAACTTTTCATATTCATGTCCTCTGTACTGTCATAATGGTGTTTTTTAGTTTGGCAGTGGAAAATAACCACACTGCCTGTGCACAGTGCTTAGTCATACACAATGTTTGCGCTTAATAATAGTGTCCACTTCATTCTGTGTCAGCCAGTGGATACCACGTCACTGTAGCACAAGTGCTAGGAGTTAACAATGAATTAAATTGTAAAAACTGACTATGTATAATATTGTATAAACCATGTACATCATAGGTTATGACATTTCTTAACATGTGTTCCAAATGAAGAATACTATTTTTAGGTTTTATAGGGTTTACAATATATACCATGAGACAATGTAAGATGTTTTCATTCATACCATGGTAGTGATCCCTTTAATATCGCTGGTTGTATTAGACCATTGTGGGCAATGTTGCAAATCATGAGGTATGACTGCTGTATGGTAATATTGGATTTTTAGATAAATGTGATGAAGAGCCTTGAATTTTCAAATATTCCATTTTCAGAATTTCCCTAAAACAAACATTACTATCTGGTTATTTAGGCGTCTGAACGGTTTCATGAAAGTTTTGTGACACTGATTTTAATGAGATGGCAAGGATTTTATAATATATGGTTCTGGTTTCGCCGATCACAACCCCACTCCTCTAAGAAACTTTTGACTGGAGATTCAAAAAAGTCTGTAAAATCTTTTGATAATCGCATAATTCATTTTTTTCATCTAGCCGTTTGGTTATAATTTATTTTTATCTCAAAGATGATTGTCTAAATGCAATTTCAATGCCTTCCTTACATTTCCATCACTATAATTTTGGTGAACAAATGCTAAGATTTAAATGTATTTCATGATAGTCACATTTTTTTCAAGTCAAATTTAAAGATATTGATTCTAGAAAGACCAGAATCAGCTTTAAAAAACTGCCATTTGTAAGTTCTGTACTAAGGACATGACTTCTGTGTCCTCATTGCCAGTTATAGTTCTTAGTGTTCTAAGAACAAACACATGTATTTATTTCACTCTAAATATTAGATATTTTGCAACTACTGAGTTTAATTTTTATTGATATCTGTTAAACTGTGAATAACACTACCTTCACTTTGCTTGGCATAGTTATGGAAGTATAAAATAATCCCCAACCAGTACCTCTGCCTTTTTCCACCATGTAAACTTTATCTCTTGCACACCTCATTTTTTAGCTTTTCACACACTTTTCTCCTGTGTCTTCATGATCAGTATCTGACATAGGGTAAATGCTCAACAGAAGTGAGACTGAGAGGAGCGTTTAAGCCGAGTAATTCAAAATCAATACATTTAATTGTCTCTGTGTCTCTCTGTCTCTCTGCAGTGAATGGTACCTGAACGGAAACTACCTTGTGATCATTGTATCGATTGGAGTAATATTGCCACTGGCTCTCATGAAACAGCTCGGTGAGTGTGTAATATCATGTCACACTTACAGTGGGATACTCATCTGTGTGTCAGTGTGGGCTTCCTTATAAATTCTGTTTTGTGTTACACTTTGCAGAATGAGGTTAAAACGAGACTATGTAGCTTTTGCTGAACGGATGCCAGTGCAGCTATAAATGGCAGTTATGGGATAATGTACTGAATGCTGAACCAATGTTTAGCATTTAGCTAAAATGCAAAGCAATTGTAACAGTAGGACAAGTGGAGAGAAGTAATAAAATCAGCCAAGTGGCTCAATAATGTCTGTAATACAGCAATATTTACTTGACCTGATGGGTTAGAGTTAGGGCTATAACAGCAAAACCTCTGAGTATATTGGACTGAGCAATGGTATCTTTAATTGCTAAAGAATTGAAATATTCATTTAGGAGGAGGAATATGTTATTTCTTCTCTCGAATGTTACACAATCTTGCTTCAACAAAAGGTTTTATGAGGCTAACAAAACTGCATCATTATTCGATCAAGAGGAAGATACTTAAAGATTGATGAAAACCCCTCAGGTGTGAAAATATAAGAAAGAAGCTGGAAATATTGCTTATTAAAGGTTGTATATTAATGATTGCTCTGAGGAAGCATCGTGCTTTTTCCCAACATTTTGCACAGCTCCAGGCAGAACAGGATCTGTGGAGTTCACAAGGTTTTTCATAGTGATTAGCTCGAGGATACTGCAGGGGATGTTCATCTCTGTCAAGGCTTGAGCCTTAGTCCTCTGCTTTAATAACAAGTGAGCTCCTAGTCACCTTCTAAATTTGAACAGATGTCATACCTTATATTTAGACATTTTCAGTTGGTTACTGCAAAGATTTGAGACCCACTCACACAGTTTCTTTTTCTTCCATGACCATTTCCACTGTTGTCCCCCTGAGATGTCTCTTGGTACATGGTTTATGCTGCTCACACACACACAAACCCAATGTCTTTCACAAGGTTGATGCAGACAAGGTGATGCAGAGAGTGTTACACAGTCTCTTCAAATGAGCAAGCGCATGAAACAAAACAAGTGGAAGGAAGAAAAAGGCAGGGAAAGCCAGTTTGGAAGTGAGAAAAGGAGGCGTATTGGCTGACCTCCCGTAAGAAGTTTGTCTCCTGCCGAGACATCAAGGACAACATAGCCAGTCGGTGCCGTCACAGTCGGTAATGAGCTCCGACTCCGAGCACATTAAATCAGTTTGGTCCACCACAAGGCTTGATGAACATATAGTAGAAGTCAGATACAGTTCCATAAGAAAAATGCTGCTTTACCTCACTAGTGATTAGTTATTAGAGTTAAGTAGTAGAGTTAAGCAGATAGGAGAGATATTATACATACCTTAAATGGGCATTTTACACATGCTATTTCTGGTGTAATATATTTGAGATTAAGCATGACCATGTAATCCCAGATAAGAGGAATGCTAATGAAGCTTTTGTGTTTTAGGATACCTGGGATATACCAGTGGCTTCTCCCTGAGCTGCATGGTTTTCTTCCTCATTTCAGTAAGTCCTCTGACTCATGGTATACATACATGTTAGTTGGAAATCATGCGTCTTGCTTCCTGTTTCTTGCCTTTTGGCAGAAGCATTAGGGCAGCATATTCAGATGCATTGGGATCAGCTTGCAAAAAAATGTTTATTTTTTCATCTTCCCACCACCTCTTTAGTATTCCCCACTCTCTCTACTCATTGCCATGGACTATGTTTGCATGCAGCAGTTCCAGGCTGTATTGGTTCTCTGTCTTTCTCTGACCTAGTTTTGGCTGTGTGAGCTGTAATCCACGCATTGCTCTCCTCTCTCTATCACTCTCTCTCTCTCCCTCTCTCTGGCTCTCTCAGTGCTGTATTTTCCACCTGTCTGTATGCTAACTGTGTCCCATTGTCTTTGTTTCTGCTTAATGCCTCTCTCCTCTTCACTGTGCAGGTAATCTACAAGAAGTTCAATACCCCTTGTCCATTTGTGGACTTTGCATTTAATGGCACTACTAAAAGTGTTGTGAACATCAGTGCTATGGAACCTGGTGGGGAGGAAAACCCTGCTTGTATTCCCAAAATGGCCAACCTCAACTCACAAGTAGGTTCACGCATGTCACTTAGTCTGAAAAGACAAGTCAATTTCCACTGCCATGGCCACTGACAGCCACCCACTTATGTCATAGTCATCTCCAGCATGTTGCCAGTGACAGTTCACAATCCAAGCATGGAAATCACACTTGGTTTGAAGCACTGAGTTGCACCCAAGAAGAGATCAGGCCTTTCATCAAGCTGTTAATGATAGACAATAGTGTGTGATTAATGGAAGGCTCAAAGATGGACAGCGACCCCTGAGCTGTCTGCTACTGTCAGCTGAACAAGAAAAATTGCTTTGGCATTCTCTTACTTATAGCAAGTTCATTAAGTTTGCCCTTTGTGGGCCAAGGAGATAGGTAATGAGTGAAATGGGAAAGACCTGACATTTCTCTAAGTACCCTTATTTGTTACTCACAGTACATACCTTCACAGCAGGACAAAACTCTAACCCTAACTGGAAAGACTCTTAATCGCAGTTAGTTGCTTAAATTTGTTTGATAGTGACATTACACTGCTTTACTTTATTGAAACAATTTTACTTTCCAGAGAATTAGCAAATACTGTCTAGTTGTTCCTGGTTTTTATAAAATCCTATCAAGTCTTTATTAGCATCCCTTAAAGATGTATGAGTCTTTCCCAACTCAGGCTAGTAAGACCAATTCCTGCTGCTTAGCAGCTTACATGTAAGGCATTCTTAAATAGGCTAAGGCTGGTCCGCAGCCAGGCCCAAGTTAATCACAGGGAAACAATTAGCTCTCTGTGATGTGTCTGAGGGAGTAATGGGCAGTAAAGCGCGAGGTTGGTGGTAAGACGTCTGGGATGGCGCTACTGTATCTATGGTGACCTGTTGGGATTCATTTTCAGACGGCCTACACCATCCCCATCCTGGCGTTCGCCTTTGTGTGCCACCCTGAAGTTCTGCCCATCTACACAGAGCTGCGCAAGTATGTCCTTCTAATGGAAAACTCAGTACAAGTACAGTGACAAGAAATCAGTAGCATAACGAAGAAGAAAGCAACTACGTCTGCTTTGTGCTTGGCTGATCATAACCTAGTCACATGCACTGCTTTCATTTTATTTTGAAATGAGTTGGCACTGCTTGTATGATTTAGCATGTTGTTAGTTTGAATTTATCATCCTGCTTTGAACCACTGTTGCTTGTTCTCCTGAGATTAATTTCCTAAGATTATTTTGAAGCATATCCCTGCAACACAAGCCCCACAGCTTAAGATGGTATTTGATAATAACTGAGCTACGTGCTTTCTGTCTGTCACTTGACAGTGGATGTCTTGATCTTGAATGTGTGTGTGTTTGTTTGTTTGTGTGTGTGTGTGTGTGTGTGCGTGCGTGCGTGCGTGCGTGCGTGCGTGCGTGCGTGCGTGCGTGCGTGCGTGCGTGCGTGCGTGTGTGTGTCATCACATGGCAATATCTTCTGATTTCAGTGCCACCAAGAAAAAGATGCAGCATGTGGCCAACATCTCCATTGCAGTCATGTACAGCATGTACTTCCTGGCTGCTCTTTTTGGATACCTAACTTTCTATGGTGAGGCATGGTCCTCCTCCCATTGCAGTGTCTCTCATACTTCCTCTGTCTTGATCTATCTGTCTATCTATCTATCTATCTATCTATGCTACACTGCCTCATTTTGCTTCTTGATTTATGTATCTGTGAGTTAATTTTTGTTGTTTCCATATCAACATTTTATAATGTCTAAATCACTACAGTATGTATAGCAGAGCAGTAATCCTGTTGGCTGAAAAGCATCATGATGCACCTACGCCCTCTAGTGGTCATACTTTAGACATCAATGACCATTTGCATTGCAGTTAAAGCCATCATGATTTATAAAGGTTTTATAAGATGTAGTAGCATATTGCATATCATTATTTCTATTACTGCTGATTATAAAAATTTATCCAATTAATCAATATTACGTGTATCCTATTTTTATATTATAAGTAATTAATGTTTTTAATACAAGTGATGTTTTGCTGGTTGGTTTGGGGGAAGTTCATTATCCTTAGACCTACTCTATGTTCCTCTGTTTTCATCTCTTCCAGGTGAAGTGGAAGCAGAGCTGCTTCACACCTACAGCCGTATTGACCCATATGACACTCTGATTCTGTGTGTGCGTGTGGCTGTGCTCACTGCTGTCACACTCACTGTACCCATTGTGCTATTTCCTGTAAGTACACCTTTAACACCTATAGTTAACACTCTGGCAAATTATGGCAGCAGTTCTTTTCTTCATGTAGTAACTCTACAGTGTTTTAAAATACAGTGAAACAATTGAAAATGACCTCTTTTTTTTTGTAACGAACAGGTACGGAGAGCAATTCAACAGATGATGTTTCCCAACAAGACCTTCAACTGGCCTCGCCACATTGCCATTGCCTTCATTCTGCTCACTTTCATCAACCTGCTGGTCATCTTTGCCCCCAACATCCTGGGCATCTTTGGGATCATTGGTAGGTTAAAAACCAACCCCATGACATTAAGCACCAACATTTAGACATCAGTGGATTAGGCATGCTTATATATTTACATTTGATATTAAAGACAAGAGACCACTGAATATGTAACTATCATATACAATAATTAAGATTTTGAGGGCAGCAATTAGATATTGGGATTGAGATTTTTCACTCTGGGACTTTGGTGTGATGTGATGAGCAGTACTTCATCAGCAGGGTCAGCAAGTTCATTCACACATGAAACTTTAAAATTCAAAAGCCTCATATGACAATTTTTCATTTCTGGAAGCAAAACAAAATAAATATGAACTAATTATTTTTTGCCCTTTCCCCTTTTTTCCACATCGTCTCTACAGTGCTGCCAGCAGCAGCTCTTAATGAGAAATGAGGGGAGTAAGAATTTATAGAGTAATAATTTTATTATTTTTTTGTCTGCTTTCCAGGTGCCACATCTGCCCCTTGTCTCATCTTCATCTTCCCTGCTGTCTTCTACATTCGTATTGTACCCAAAGAAGAGGAGCCACTGCGCTCAGTGCCCAAAATCCTGGTGAGCATCACATGAGAATAACATGAGAATGATAAATTAGGTTAATCACAGAAAATTAAGTTCAGTATAGTTGTGTTTATTTTAGGTTAGGTTAGGTGAGATTACATAAAGCTGATCTGGTTAAAAATGTATTATCAATGTGCAGTAGATACTCTGTGGACTGAAATGGACTATAAACATAGAGACATTTTAGGTGCATGGCATGGTGTTGCATTTATTCAACTGTACCTAAGTACTGATTTTGACTTCACTGACAGATATTTTGAGTTGCCAGATGTTGATTGCAGTTTAAAGGTATCTAAGATCAAAAATTACAAAAAAAAAATAAAAACATAAATATTGGCATTTTTGTTTACAGATCTATAAAAAGAAATTGCAATACCAAAATGCCAAAGATATGTTTGAGGAAATGTATAAAATGTGCCACCAGTGCCACCAAAGAGAGCTTACTGGAGTTCGTTATTCAGATGTAAAATGTCATATTAACACTAGTTGATATGTTGATATGTCATTATCAGATTTGGTTATCGGTATAAACCTAAAAAATCCAGTAATGTGTGGGCTTAATATGCGCTATCGCTATGGGTAAAATAACACTGAAAAATGTGTCTCACATTACAGTTATAGTTACAGTTACTGGCTTCAGTCACTCACATATTCAATGATTTACTATGGAAGTTACTGTAAAGCTCATGACACTGTCTGAAAATAATGCGTCCATTTAATGTTCCTACCATGACCTCTCTGTCTCCTGTTCTCTGTCACTCTCATTACTTTCTCTTCCAGGCTGCCTGTTTTGCTGGGATAGGCTTCCTGTTCATGATAATGAGTCTCAGCTTTATCATCATCGATTGGACATCGGGCACCAGTAAAGCCAGCAGTGGTCACTAGGCACCACGCTCCTTTTTTTTTTCATTTTTTTTTTTCAGGTTTTATATTGTTGATTTAGATCTGTGTTGTAATGTTACTGTTTTTACTTTGGATCATGTTTGATGTTGAAGATGCCCTATATTTTCCATTAGAGAATATTGGCCACACAGGAGGAGTCTAGAGTTCAGGACAGCTCTCTGTCCCTCTGCGCTTGCTCTCACTCTAATGACATTACATTGTACTGTACATCCTGCCAAACAGTGACTGCACATCCAGGCCAGTAGACTTTCCTGGAAAGTTGATAGTGAATTCATTGAGAGGCCAGGTGCATAAAGGTTGATGGTGAGACTTGGAGGCTGTGCCTTGTGAGATGGATGTAAAAAAAAAAATGTAGGATGCTGCTGTCTTTATACACCTGTCCCTTGTGAGTCTCCACCACTGTCCCTGTCTTGTCCTAACATGATCTATGATCTGCTAACTGCTACTCAGATTAGAATACACAATCTGAGGCACCTCCCTTTTAAATGTTTTGAATGAAATTTATTGAATGATAGACAATTCTTTTATTATTTTATCTATTATTATTACTATTATTATTATTGTTATTAAGTTATTTGAATAACTACAACTTTGCGATTCTGTGCACCTGCAGAGGAAAGTGATGGTTGAAGCTATTGCACAGATTGATAGATAAATTAAAGGAGTAGTTCAATGTTTTGGGAAATGTGCCCACTAGCTTTCTTGCCAAGAGTTAGATGAGACAATTGTCACCTCTCTTATGTCCGTACAGTAAATATGCTACAGCCAAGTTAACTTAGCTTACCATAAAGACTGGAAAAATGTTGAACTATTCCTTTAAGGTGTGCAGCCTTTAGCTCCATCTCCACTAACTTGTGCTGCTGCTGTTTATTTTAAGGTTTAGAGGTGTTGAAATCCTAGCCTCTGACAGAGCAGGGTGCAAAACCACTGAAAGTATGTGGTACAGTGTTGTGAGCACATTTATCATTACATTCCTACACAATATGATCTAGATGTATATTTTTAATAATAACCTCTACTTGATGAAAACCTCAGACAATGCAGTATGGACTGATGAGATGATCCTCAGTTAATGCTTATACTGAGGCGATCAGTGTAAGAGAGGCAGGTTTCAGGTCCGGAGCATTTTTAAATGGTTCTTGGCTGTTCAGATCACAAGCAGTATAAAAGAATGCCTATGTTGTGTCTTTTTCAGTATTACTGTGTACATGACAGCGAGAAATGGTACTGAAGATGTCATCAGATCAAAGTGATAAATAAAATGAAGAGAGGAAAGTTACTGCTCAGTGTTCCTCATCATCGAGCGGGATTGATTTTTACCTGGAAGATTTGATGTGTTGTTTCTGAACATTTACCGGAAGTAATCAGAGATAACCAAAACATGTATAAAACAACAACAGGGTCGCTTCATGAAGTGGTTTGTCACAGTTTGGTGTCTGTAAATATTTGTGCATCCAGCACAAGGTCGATCCCTAACAGAAAAGACAGACATGGGATTACTGTCTCTTTAACAATCTTGAAGTTGATGGTTAGCAATAGCACTTTCCTCTGATAAGCACAACTTCTAGTAGCCATTAATGAGTTGAAACACAAGAAAATTATTTGTAAGAAATTCTCACATTTGCTAGATGTGATTTAAAGGCATATCCCTTTGTATGACTAAATCTTTGATAAAGTAATCAATCTAATGTAGATTACGAGAAAATTAGAAATGTATCGGTGGTATAAAATGGATGTCTTCTCAAATATTACTTGAAATAATGTTAAACCTAACTTTCCTGTGAGCCCCTGCGATCATTAGTGTCCTCCTCTGGTCTGTTTTGTAGATAAAACAACAAATTAGATGGGTGTTCTGTTGAAGGTTTTTAAGTGTCCCTGTTGTTTAAAAAATGAAAACATGGCTCCACTGTATTTGAACTATAGTAGCTATGTGCATTTGTGTTGTTAAACCTGGACCTATACTCTGATCAGAAGTATAATTAAAGTATTTGTCTCCTACCATTGATATATTAACTGTTGTTTTAAACTTCATGTTTATTGTTTATTGAAGTGTATCAGTTGAATCTGATTCAGTGATGAAATGCAAGATGCAAAACCTCTTGATGATTGTTTTTTATGTTTTTTTTTTAATTATTATTATATCTGTCTGTTATAGTCAGTGGTATATCATGAGTGATATAGTTTGGGTCATTTCTGACTTCCTTGCTGCTTGTTGGCAGACATTAACCTACTAACTTGGAGTTGTTAGTGAGCTGGTGTACTTGCCTATGTTTCATAATTTTTTTTAAAGATAAAATCTTACTCCAGACCACAGTGAGTGCTGTATGAGTAACTGAGTATTGTCCTGTCAATTTGTTACACAACAAACCTCTTTTAATGGTTTTATTTGATTCTATCAAGGCATTTGGTTGTCTTTATGTATCTTTATGCAGAGGGAATCATCTGAATCAGCCACTGGGGCATATCTTTGTGTCTGGTGATATTTTAACCAGTGCATGGGTTATATTTATCCCCAAATTCCTGTTGCTAGTTTGACCATAATTTTTGGCTGTATGTATGATAAAGCCATTTGGTAAATCAAGTGAGTTTCATAAACTGTTTTATAAAGGTGCACACAAAACAAGAGGGGATATGGTGTATGAAATTGTAATGGACTGCACTCATATAGCGCTTTTCTAGTCTTGTCAACCACTCAAAGCGGTTTACACTACACTACAAGCTAGATTCACCCATTCACACAGCGCTTTGTCTATGCATTCAGCGCTTTGCAATTTTTCTTGCCATGCAGTGTGGAATAGCAGGGGGGATCGAACCACCAACCTTCTGACTAGTGGACGACCCTCTCTACCTCTTGAGCTCTGTGTTAGTGGCTGATACAAGATGATCTCTGAGGACCTGTATTTAGACCTCAGTGTTGTTAGTCTCCCTCTTTGTGTGATTTATATATTGTATGATTGAATAGTAACATATTAAATCTTGACATTGGCCAGCATTTATAAATAATGTATATAAATGTATACCCTTTATATTCTATATGCATATCTAGTTTGTATAATGTAAATAGCAATTAAAGGTTTAGTCCAATTAAAAATATAAATGTAATCATTTTCAAAGTGCTTTTAAACCTTTTTGTCCTTCAATTCATGTCTATTTTCTTGTATCTCTATATATTTTAATATGTTGCTGGCAGTTATTGTACTGTAAACAATGTTGCAATAAAGATAATGAGGTAACATGACTTTCATCTGTTATCATCTGTCAGACATGATAATCAGGACACAACTTTATATGATGTTTAAAAGAGGTTCTTGGAAACAGGAGGTTGGCATTAGTTGGTTTTTCAGTAGTTCCCCTACATTCTCATTCCTAAGTGGAACATTAGATTATGTGCATGAAAAAGCAGAATAATAACAGCTTTAAATGGGTCACTGGCTTTAAACAACCACAGCACAACCTGAAATTTTAGGCAAATATTTGTCAGTGGTAAAACACACTGATAATATGTAGCTTTATGTTTTATGGATTTTAATCTGCTGTTTCACAGATGCATAATTCTATTTCCATTAACAAAATAGCTTATTGTCTCTCTTGGGCAAGAAAATTCAACTTTTGTAATTTTCGTGTACAAACATGGTGTAAAAAGTGAAGAGAGTTCAGTAACACAGTCAGTTCTTTTGAGGGTCAGTAGACAGTCCACTAGGTGACACCGTAGAGCTGTGGATTGAGCCCATAGGTGCTATGGACCATCATGAAGGCTAATATAACATAATGTTGGGTTTTTATTAAGTATTTTTTTAAGCCTTAATCTTCTAGATTGTATTGAGCCTATTTTCATCTCAGTTCTGAATTCATACTGTCATATAATTTAAATCCTTATGTTCTGGCTGCTGTGGCTGTTATTACCCTCCGTTATTTCCATAAACCAATTTGGATTACTAGCATTTAAAATACAGTGACCACTACTGGCACAGTTGTAGTTTTTCTGCTGCCTTTAAGTGCTCATTGGAAGCTCCTGAGTTTGGCATTTCTACATTCAACTTAATGGTTTTTCAATGTTTTTGGTCCAATATAAAATAAAACAGAACCTTGTTCTGATGTTATAATGTCTTCGTGGGCTCATGGAAATCATGGTGGGCATTTTTGTTACTTCACAGCATTTTAGAGACCAAACAATCAATAAATTAGGACTGTACCTGCCAGCATAGGTGGCATCACAACTAGTCTGGATGCCAATCCTGGTTAAACAGGCAACTTTCACACCTTAGACACTGTACATAAAGTCTGGCCTTTCAGTGATGTAGGAGACCTAGTCAAACTTTTGTAATGAAAAATATTTGCATTTTCACAGATTCTGGATTTTTCACTGGGGGAGAACGTGTAGGTATAATTTTAAAATTTTAATTTAATAAACATTTTAAAAAGAGTAATATTGTGAGCAAGTAATATTTTCAATGCAGAACCTTTACTTGTAATGGAGTATTTTTGCACTGTGGTAGGCTTTTTACCTAATTAAACAATGTGAAAGCTTCGTCCACCACTGTTGTATTTTGTCGTTTCAGAGTGAAGCGTATGAAGCGGTATTTGGTGCCATTAGTTAGAAATTGTGTAATTAAAACACCCCTAATCTCTCTTCTTGTCAAATACGGCTGTTCCCACTTGGGACTGTAATTCTTATGAACTTCAATGCAGATTTTTCCTGTAACTCTTGAGGGAAACGACTCTTTGACTACATTTCCCATGAAGCACTCGGAGTGGGCGTTTTTTTCTCTCGTGAAGGTTGGCCCTGCCACTGTTGCGTTCGGAGGTGACGGCGCTGTCTCGTTGTTTGTCGGGTGGAGGAGAACTTCACGGCGGCTACGGGTGTGGCTTCAAACGTGATAAATCTCAACGTGGGGAAAGAATGCGTAACGGCAATTGGAATTTAAAAAACATATAAAACAGCAAAGATAAATATCCTCTGAAAAGTAGTGAGTGTGTCTGGTAGCCTAACTGGCAGCAGGAACCCGTGTGCTCGGTTTTCAACAGCTGGAATACTTTTTGTTTTTGTTTTCTTTTTCTGTTTCTTTTTGCTGAACTTCGTGGCCCGTTTTCGTGTTTAGCCTGCTCTGATGGTCTGTTGTAGGAAATACCGAATTAGCTAAAAGCCAACCGTCCTCAGAAAGTTGCCTAAGCTGTTTTTTTCGGTCGCTGGACAACTTCTCCACGCTCACAAGAAACCACCAATGCTGACCAACATTACTTACTGAACAACCAGCGAGTCTTTGGGAGTTTCGTACATTAGATATCCAAGTTCACCTCGCAGAAGGAAATCTTGCTTTTATGATTTTCGTTCCCTGTCGCAGATGAACGGACTCCGTCACGTTTGTCGCCACTCTTGAAAAAAGGGAAGTCGTCTTACTCAACTTCAACCCTTGTTTTTTTAATAAGGGGTTTTCGGACTCAGCCGTAAATTTTTTTTTTTTTACCCCAGGTGATATTTTCCCACTAAGCAGCAGACCTGAAGCGTGCACTAGGAACCATGGGTTGTACAGTTAGTCAGGAAGATAAAGCCGCGGCCGAGAGGTCTAAAATGATTGATAAAAACCTGAGAGAAGATGGAGAGAAGGCGGCGAGAGAAGTGAAACTGCTGCTGCTGGGTGAGTTGTCTGTCACAACACTGACACTGCGTTGCAAATGTGCCATATTTAATGGTCACAAACGAATTATGTAACAGTACGAAAGATTTGAACATTTGTACCAATATGACACAGGAATATAACAGACAAAGTCACTGAGCAAGTACAATATTTTTTAGGTAATTCAATTAAAAGTAACATTTGTATTTCCCTTAAAAACTAGGCCTTCGGTCCTGTCCTTCACACTCATCAACTGTTACACCAACAACACCTCTGAATTGTTTGGGCTGAGTGTTTCCTTCACCCGCCTCCTGAAGAGACAAACGTGGCAGCAGTAAATGCCACCAGACATGCATGTGTTTGTGTGAGTGCAGCAGCAGCCCTGTGAACTTCACCTGCCACTGCCCCAGTTCACATGTTTAAAAAGTAGCATGTCCTTGTGTACTTTGCCTTCATCCTTGGATCTGCTTTTACATAAACATATGGGCTTTATTTGGGATGTTTTGGAAAGTTTGGAGCTGAAACAGCACCATGGAGCACATGCCCCCGTCTAACAGATTTCAGAGCAGAGTGCCAGATTTTTTTATTTATTTACTTTGGCAGGACAGTCAAAATTGCCAGTCTTATGCTTACATTTGGAGTGGTTTCCTCCCAGTAGGACTGGACTTACGGGTCAGACACGGCAGAGTCTGGTTGATAATGAGTGGGCTGCTGTTTGGATAGAGGGTGAACAGCCCTGACTGTTCCCAGCACTGGCCAGAGCATTCACATGCATACACATACATACATACATACAAGGCACTGCTTGGTAGCAAGAGATGATTACTCTTTCCCGGGCTTTGCTACATACAATTACAGGACACATTGCTGTAACTTTTTTTTTTTTTTTTTTATCAAAGTCTTGATATTGAAGCCATACTGACAACTTGCATGTTAAGTTTACTTCCCACCTTCTTATCCATTTTAGATGGAGCAACCATTTTATTTTTATGGCTGCTTTTTTATGGAACAGAGATCCTTTAAGTTTCAAAACCTTACCTGACATGCAGCTTAGAGATACAGAAAGAAAGGAAGCAGCAATTCTTAACACCTGCTTAACCAGTAATTCATATGACTTCAAAACTCCAGTGATATGTTTCATTTCATTGATTTACTCTCCAGAAGTTGCTCCAGTCATTGCCTCAAGGGAATCAATCCAATTTTCTAACAGTGAGTCATTTTGTTAGGATATGCAGTGATTTTATTGAGGACACCTTTCTGAACATATGCTCAGGTTTAAAGTGATATTGATCTTTTTGAACAGAGGAAACAAGGAACTAGAGATACTTTTTCTAGTATGATGTGTTGGAGCAATTTACACCCAAGAACATAATCTTAGAGGATCCTGTATGGAGCCTTTAACTAAACACAACCATCAATACTTGTTAGTGTTAGTGTTGCATTTTTTTCTTTTGTTTAATTTTGCACCACTGCCAAATATACTCCTTTTCCTTTCTATAGCATGTTTAAATGTGAAATGATTTGGGAAATTTAATGTATTTAGCACTCAGTGAAGCCCATGCATTTAGTAGCAGCTTGGTGATGACAGAATCACAACACTGATTTTCCTGATGGAAAACAGAAAATTCTGCTTAAATTGGTTGGGAACACATAGTGTGTTTTTTCTCTCCTTGGTCTTTGAAGAGACGGCTGGTTGTTAAGTTCTGCCCCTGGTTAGAAGGCTAATTGCATACTCTGCTCTGTACGGCAGGTTTCATATCAGTAATTACCATCCGGTGCAGTGTTTGAGGGTTGAGAGGAATTATAGGAGAGGTCTGAATCTGAACCGTAGGTTCACGTTAGGTCTTACGTCATGCAAGTAAGAGTTTTCCCTTTACTTGTGCTATTTGAAAAACATGTCACATGTGAAGGCTGCACCCGGATATAAAGCTGGAGTATCTTGTGATGGTTTTCTAGTCTCTGAAAAGTGAAATTTACATTTCAGTGTTAAATCAACTCAATGGTAAATGCAGTTGTGCATTCATTGTACCTTCGTGATTGCACAAAACTCATTTTGACACTGATTTTGGTTCTCTCTTACAGTGCCAGCCTGTTATCCTCTTAATAGATTTTAGTTAATGACAGTGCTTCGGTTTAATTGCATTGGAAGATGCTATCTGTTGAATAAAAGGTACCATATAGCATTATTTTAGTATTTTGCAGTCATAGCAGCAATATATGTGAGAGAGGTGTGACATCCATCCAGAGGTGCTACATCACACCTCCAGGTATGCTTTTCAGCAGTCACATCTGCTACCATAGTATCTGTTGGAACAGCTGAGAAAAGTCACATTGCTTCCTTCATGACACCCCAGTAAGCAGTCTGTCCTGTCTGTCCAATGAAGCCTAACTTGTGAACTATAGTCCCATGTCCTTTCAAAGCAAACTCAAGAGACTCTGAGATGAGATGTGGGGTTCAGGCTGAAGGAAGGGCCTTGTTTCTACTTACTGGCTGAGACAGAAATGATGGCTCTCTTTTTGAATTAAATCTGAATCACTGGCTTCTTCAACAAGCTGAGGAAGTCTAACCACAAAAAGCTTAATCAAAGCTTCATCTCTTACCTGGTGTAAACTAACAAATGCGATTAGGAATTTCCATGGTAACTGCTTTTCTCTAATTACGCCTTACCAAAAAGAAGGCTGTATTAGATTGTTTTGTCTTGTTAGTTGTCCCTAGAGAAAGCCATTAGTTAATGTAGCAGAGAGGACTTCATACTGTTGAGGCTTAAGCTTTCATTAACAGGAAGCACTCATTCACAGGCTTCTCTGCCGATTCTGGTCTTTGACTGACATTTAATCTCCTCCCTGTCGACAACAAAAAATTTGCTGCTCACTTCAGTTGATTTTCTGAGTTATTTGGCTCACCAACCTTTTCTTTTTTCAGCTCAGCACAAATGAAAGTTCCTTTTGGCAGCGTGCTTTCCTTAAACTGTGAGAACGGCAGTCTGGTAGTAGGAAATATCTCTGCATGATTCGCTGTTAGCATGCACACACACACACACACACACACACACACACACACACACACACACACACACACACACACACACACACACACACACTTCAGTATTAATTGTACATAAACACATTTGCTCAGATGCTTGACAGGCAATTCTGTTATGTAAATACGTTGGCATACTGAATGCATGCATGCATGCATGCAGCCTAGGGCACAGTAGAAAGGGACATCTACTTCTTACAAAATTATATAGATGTTTTACTGAAAAACATATATATGCAAGTTTTATCGGGTTGTGGCTAAAAAATGCTTATCATGTTCTTAGAAGAGAAACAACTTGGTCTATTTTGAGAAGCTTATATGGCAGCACTGTTATTCATTTCCATTGAGGATAGTAGACGTGTTGTTTTTTTATGACATGATATATAAAGTCTGCACTGCACTTCTTTATGACTTGGTCGTTGCTGCAGTGTTGAATTGGCTTGGATTCCATTACATAGCTCCTCGTGGTTACTGCAGTAAGGCTGCCTCATGTAACAATGTAAGGCTGACATACTGTTCTGCCTGCAGCTGGTTTTATTCATGATCAAAGCATCAGATGGTTAACCTAAAATGAAGGTGGCAGCCATATTACGTCGCTCATGCCATGGGATGGGAAATGTGCTGTTAATGTTTTCAGGCTAAGAATATATTATCTATGTGTGGAGAGAGGATGTAAAGAGAAGCTTGTATAACTCTAAGAAGGTCACCTTGACAGTTTTTTCCAAACAGTGGTCATTATTATGAACCAACATTGACTTTTTTTAACCACAGACGAAAGAAAAAAGCACATGGTATGAAACCAGTCATATTCTCTTCCTCTTTTACATCTGAGTTCTGCTGTGTGCTAAAGGATGCTCGCTCATTAATTTGCCCTCTTAGCTAAAGCCATGGTCAGTAAGGAAATGGACTTCCATTGAACACAGGAACAGTTGTTGGAGGATATGGACTCCAAAGAAAAAAAATGGGTAGATATACTTAGTGGATATTATATTTTGACATTTTTTAAAACACTGAGTACTATCTAATATCTACTGCGATACAAATTCCAAAAATATCAAAAAGTGTCAATTGACAGTCGATGAGCCAGGTAGACAGTTTTCTGTTTCAATCTGACTTCTGCCACCATTGACTATTGTCAACACCTCTGCTAATCTACCGACACAGTGTTGCTTATAAACAGCTTCACTTAAGGTCCACTGACAGATATCACTTCCTGCTGGGAAATAATACTTTTCTCTGGTATTTTTATAATCCTTTGCATTAACGCTCAAACCAGTTGCAAGTTGCATAGTGAACATTGTAATGTGCTAATTACAATTTTTGCAAAGTTATCCTATCTGCATGAAATAAAATCTCATTGTGTTTTTGTTCAAATCTTGCCCAACTTGCCTGTCCTAGACTGTTTAGTATGATGGACATAACAGTGTTGTGAAATTAGAACCTGTTTATCTCGTCTTGTAGTGTCACATCACCTAGACCTAAGTTTGACCACAGTGCCCATCAGATAAAATTCTGGTATGAAAATAATTGGTTATCTTATAATAATGGTCTTTTAAAGGCTCAGACAGTAAAGTAATTCATAATGCCTTCTTTTTAATCATATTTTTAGGCAGTCATTTGACAGAGGTACATTAAGGAAGATGTATCCTTAAAAAAACAGAATAAGCTTGTGAATATAAACGCAAACACACACAAACTGTTCAGAGTACAGAGCATATCAGTGTAAGATTTTAGCTCATCTAATTTTATTAGGTTGTAACCTCTATCACACATCTTCAAAGGCAGTTTCCTCTTGTGGGCTCTTGGAGAACAAACAGTTACCTTCATTTCTCTTAAATGCTTTGATTAGGTAACTTTCTCAAAGTGTGGCACTGCAGACACAGTATTGACCAGAGACAGAGAGGGCCTCTATCAACTAGCATAGCTACTGCTACCGTTTGTGAAAGCCATCAATCTTAGCAGAGTTGAGCTGGGAAACCTG